TGTTAATGCAGTATCTCGGCAGCTGTTGTAATCACTGCGGTGGGCACATCAATGTGTAGTCACAATCGAAAATGCACAGAGCACACGTCGTGCGTCTAATCACTGCGCGGCCATTTTTCCGACTCCGAATATCGCGAGGAAGACGTTGGCGATGAGCGCGCCCGTGCGCGGCGCAAGCTGCCGCGGTGATCGGCAGTCGATACCCGATCGATGCTGCCATCTGATCGGACGGCGCAACGTTAACGGAATCTCGAATATTCCGCCCGCCATCAGCAACCTTGTTGATGATTCCTTACTCTTGATCCTTCCTTTGGTTGAAATGGGTAATATGGCGAGCTTGGCACTTGGCCGATTGAGTGTCGTGGTGGCCGTCTTGAGGGTAACCACCCTGGTGAGTCCATCCTTGCCGGGGTGCAAAGCTGGTACTCTGGTGAGTGGCCACTTGCACGGTGGAGAGCGTTCGTCGGTGAGCAGCACGATGGAACCCATCTTGATGTTGTTGTTAGGATGATGCCACTTGGATATCGCCTGCTGGCGTTGCAGATAATGAGCCGACCTTTGTGCCTAAAAAGAGCGATAAACCTGAAACAGAGAGCTGTTGTTTTCAATAATGTTGAACACGCTGCTGGATGAGCTGCCACCGAGATAGTCGTGAGGTTCCTAGGTCAATCAGAGATGGCTCGGGTATGGTAGTGATTGGACCTCCAATGAGGAAATGACCTGGTGTGAGCGCTGAGACGTCTCCAGGGTCGTCACTCAGCGGTTCTAAGTGCCGCGAGTTGAGAATGTCCTTGGTTTGCGTAAGCAACTTTGTGAGTTCTTCCGTCGTGAGTAGTCTCCCTGATAATCCGTCTCAGATGAAACTTCAGACTTTACTACCGCCTCCCACTTGCCCCCCATGTGTAGAGCGCCTGGTGGGTTGAACTCCCGTCCTGTGTCAGTAAGTTGTAAAACTTTAGCAATCCGTGATGTTCTTGAGAGCCCTGGATGAACATTTTCTTGAGCGCGGCGTCTGCTCCAATGAATGTTGTCCCGCAGTCCGAATACATGATCTGAGCAATTCCCCTTCTAGCTGAGAATCTCCGGAAGGTTGCTATGAATCCTTCTGATGGGTAGTCACTGACTACTTCGAGGTGAATTGCGGAGGTGGAAAAACAGACGAACACACAGATCCATCCTTTGTATGTTTTCGCACCTCGTCTTTTCCATGTCTTGATGGTGAGCGGTCCGGCATAGTCAACTCCTGTGTGAGTAAACGGACGTGACGGCGTAACCCGAGAGAGAGGTAGTTGGCCCATCAGTTGATGAGCACGGATCCCCCTCTGCCGAGCACACACGACACACCGCAAAATATGAGACTTCACCGGAGCCCGTCCGCCGATGATCCAGTAGCCTTGCCTGACATGAGCCAATGTCAGCTGAGTTCCTCTAGTCAGGGTGCGCAAATGGGCGTGAGCGATGATTAAGGTTGAGAAGTGGCGAGGTAAAATCGCCTGATGTTGGTTGTCTTGATCTAGTGCTGATTGGTTGAGGCGGCCGCCAACTCGGATGATCCCTTGAGCGTCTATATACGCAGTCAATCGACTGAATGCGTGAGCAGTTGGTAGTCTCGAGTTGGCCGTGAGCATCTCGATCTCGTGCGTGAAGTATGCCGCTTGAGTAGCCTTAATCCAGAAAAATCTGGCCTCCTCCAAAGCTGAGTGTAAGTCCAGAGTTTTGCGTCGGCGCTTTCCCAGAAGCGATATGAATCTGAAACAGAGAGCTGTTATTTTCAATAACTTGTTGAGTGTTGAGTACCTATATATAAGGTCCCAGTGATAGTCCGGTTGAGATGCGGCCGCATGTAGCGCAATGCCAGGACGAGCCTCATGCGTGCTCAACTCGTCCGAACGCGCGGGTTGAGATGGCCAAGCTTCAGGGGTGAGTATTCACGGTGGTCCCGTCCACCATAATGAGTGGCTTTGGAGTTGAGCAGTGTTTAATCCTCGTGAGGCGCAGTCGGCTGGGTTGGACGTACCTGGTACGTATTCCAATGTGCGTTCGCAGTGAGCTCTTGAATTTGAGAAACCCGATTTCTCACGAAATCCTTCCAGCGCGATGCATGAGATTTGATCCACGTGAGTGTCACAACAGAGTCCGTCCACAGGTGAGTTGCTGTGACGTTCAACTTCAGTGTGGCTTGAACGTATTGCATGAGTCTTGAGAGCAGCAGAGCTGCGGTGAGTTCAAGTCTCGGGATGGTGAGCCGCTTGAGCGGTGCTACCTTTGTTTTGGAACACACCAATGAAATCGTGGTACCATTTGAGCCGTGGACGGTGATAAATACGACTGCAGCCATTGCCAGTTGAGAAGTATCAGAAAAGCCGTGAAATTCCACTGACGAGGTACTCCATGTGGTTTGAGAGGTGCTACCTTGGTTGTACCACCGAGGTATTGAGAGCTTGATCAAGCTTGTGAGTTCTTTTCTGATAATGAGCCACCGTGATGAGAGCTGGGATGGCAGTGGTTCATCCCATTGGAACTTCATGTAGCCAAAGCTCCTGCAAGAGCATCTTCGCCTTGATCACCACTGGTGATACAAAGCCCAATGGATCGAGCATCTGAGCCACTTCAGACCGAGCGAGGCGTTTGGTGTGCGACGAGATCCTTTTTGAGAATGTGAATGAATCTTCTTGAGGAAGCCATCGTAATCCGAGTTTTTGGTTAAGCAATCGTCAATGTAGGTTGTGAGCCCTGGTCCTGTTCTGCTTGAACCGCAGTGAGTCCGTCTTGATGAGTCGCGTGCTACCTTGCTAATGGGAAGCCGCCCGCCATGCATAAGTCCGTTGAGCAGTATTGACTACCTGCTGAACGGGGTCGTCGCCTCCAGAATTGTCATCAACATATCGACCGTTGTTAGATGATATGGCACTTCATTGAGTTGTTCATCTATCCAGTGAGTCCGTTGTAACTTTCAGTCATCTTCATGCACGTTGATCTGCCTATACCCTTTGGTGATGTCAGTGGCAACTAAGTGCCGAACTTGTCGAATTCAGAGCAAGACATCGGTGATGTCGAAATACAGCTTGGCTCCTGTGTGCATGAGATCATTAAGTGAGCGGCTGGATGTAGATGCACTCGAGCCATTAAATACCACACGTCATGTTGTGGTTGCACTGTCTGGTCTGAGCACTCCGTGATGTGGCAAATAATGTTGTGTGAGCTGACTGGAAACGGTTGAAGCATTCTTTATGTGATTGAGCTCTTGATAGAGTATTATAAGCTGATGATACAGACGTCGATAGTTGTCATCTCGTGAGTGTCTTCTTCGTAAACCTGTTGAATCCCGTGAAGTAGTACTCTTGAAATGTTCTTCACATCCTTGCTCGTCAGGAGTAAGATCAAGATTGTTGCTCGCAGGCTCTTCTTCTTGTATCCAGATTTCGCCAACAAGTCGTCAAGAGCATCTTCTCCCTCCCGAACGGAGGCATGATGCACGGTGGCAATTGCCGATGATGATGTATTAACAGGTCCGAGAACGAGCTATCCGAAGAGAGCTGCGCAATTGGCATCAATGTATCTCGTTTGCTGATGTTGGGCTTGATGATCTGTCCATATGAGTCAGCTCCAATGATGATATCCACTGGCCGTGGTGTCAGAAAATCTAGACCAGCCAAGGTTAACTTGGTGAGATGCGGCCATTCCTGTGGTGCAACGTTGAAGGATGGCAGGATGTTTGTTAACGTCTGCAGAATGTGAGCTTAAATAATGACGTCTGTTCTTGAGTGAAGTGGGCGGAGCGTAAGCATTCAATTCCTCGAGTTTGCGTCGCCTTCTTCGCCACCAATTCCCGTGATGAGAATGACGGAATGATGAAGAGTGATGTTGAGCTGGCGACCGAGAAATTCTGAAACAAAGGTAAGTTCTGAACCTGAATCAATGAGAGGCCATACGCATTGAGTATGAACAGATGAGCTGAACGGAGCCAGGGCCGTAGCGAGTAATGTTGAGTGTAATGAGCGGGCCAAAGATGAGTGAGCGACGATTGCACCATCTTCCTATTGAGCTGACGCAGCTGAGCTGGTGATCGGCTTTGTTGATGAGTTCGACTGATGAGCCTCATGCAGCATCGTGTCGGTTGGTGCACTTCTTGCACCCCCGTGAGCCGTTACATGAGTGGCCGTTGTGGCGGCCGAGGCATTTGAACCAAAACCTCCGTGGTATGACTAGTTTTTGTCGATCGCCTGTTGAAAGATCCCTAAATTACGTGCACATCACAATGAAGTGAGTGCCGTTGCAACAATCGCACGGGTAAATTAGATGCTGCCGTGCGGGTCGGTTGAGCTGCCACATGCTGAGCTGTCAACGTGCGCTTTGCTGTTAAATGAGCGTCGACGGCTGTGAGGCTTCAAGATATGCATGCTCCTTGAGAAACGCCTTGTTCGCCTCTTCGAGACGCATTGAGATGTAGAAAATCTTCTCTAATGACGTGTCCTTTGCACAAGTTGGCAGCGTGTCGCCAATATTCCGCATCGTAGCCAGTCGGTTCATTTAAGATGAGCTCCGTAGACAAGCGCACGGGTTGGCGTTCCGATGTGCGAGCCGGCGGTACCTCGAGCAGCGGCGTCGTGATCTCCGTACCGCCCGTACCCGCCTTTGCGGGTTCCGTCATGTTGAGCCGTCCCTGAGCTGCGCACGATGAAATACCTGAGAAATGTCGAGACACGTGTAAGAAATGCTGCACGATTCGAGAACGTTCGAGAGACGCGTGAGAAAAACACTATGCGAGTCGAGAGTCTACAATGTCATGTATTGAACACGTGGAAATGTCTATTTACACTCGCGGGAGCGAGTGAGCATGTTTTCGTAACACTCGCGAGCGCGCGTGAGAATGTCTGTCCTTCACTCGCGGAAGCGCGCGATAATGTCCACGTGGCATGTCGTGAAGGGCATGCTCTGTTCACATGATCTGTGTCTGAGTTACAC